CAACTTCCTTCCCAGGTGAAGAAAATAAGAAATCTAGAGAAGATTGGTATTAGATGATTGATGTATCCCCACGGAGAGTGTACACGGATACTCTCACAAGTTGGGCCACTGAGAACCAACTGCCTCCCATCCCGCCCTAATCAACACAACCGGTTAGTCGCTCAGGTATTCGTACCTCCGAGATAAACTGATGAACTGTTTGCATTCACGATTCCGTAAAGTGGAAGCTTCGACGTGGCGTGGGCGAGCCACAGGTTCCGTGAGAGGTCTTCCAGCCACGTCTCCAGCACTGGCTGAGCAGCCCCGGCTGGCTTCCATCATTAGTAGCTTTCCTCAGCACTCATGAATATTACAAAGCCCCAAACCGTGATCACAGGCGGGCGCTTGCAGCGTTGACAATCCTGCTGCATGCAATATATGTGTGTGTGTTTATAACTGTGTAATTGTTCTGTACTTAAAGTATATCGGGTTGTATGTCATAGCTGAGACAGTGGAACACAGTCTCGACCACGTGTGCTAAAAAGTCTTCGAGATTTCTTTTAGGGATTCATGCTCTGTTTGGTATGGTTAGATTTGGTTAGGTTAAGTTAATTTTCAGCTTATTCTGTTGGTGGTGTGTGCCTGTACGTCCTCCACCCAGACACGTGAGGCCGCCTCAGTGTTGTGTGGCCTCGGGGGGCGCGCGCCCCCTGATCCCTGGCTCACACTACGTCTCAAAGTAATTTAATAAAAATTAAAATATACTTTGAATAAGTTTAATATTATCACTAATAATGCTAAAAGATGAAAACATAATTAGAAGAATCGCAATAAAAAACGCAACAATAGTTGACAACTTATTATAATATACAATTGATAATAAAAGATAATAATTAAAAGTAATCAAATAAATAATAATTGATGCTAACCATGATCAATAATATCATGATTAGCATTAATTATTATACCCCCCCCCTTCCCATACTTCCCTACCAGTTCCCTTTCCCCCATCTCCACTACCATTTCCCTTCGTTGGACACCATTCCTTTCCCCCATCCCACCCCAAATCCTTATCCACATCCCTTCCAAGCACTATATACATTGTCGTAATGGCTTGGTGCTTTCTCCTGATAATTACCTTACCACCTCCCTTCTACCTCTTCCCATATCTCTACCTGTTCCCCATCTCTTACTCCCACCTTCTCTCAACACCCTCCCACATTTCCCTTACCTATTTCCACCCCTCACCCAACTCCCCGTTCTTGAGTCCCATATTCCCATATTTCCTTCTACCTACTTTCAAAGCTCCCTTACCCATACCCTTACCCATTCCCTTACCCACACCTTCCCCTCCCCCATCCACACCTCCCCTATACCCACACTCACATCCTTCCTAAAAACTGGGCTCCCCTCATTCCTCCCAAGCTTGTTTACAATGTGTATTTTGCATTTAATTTTTAAACAACGAGCAAAAAACCTGCAAAACAGCTTAGTGTTGTGAGGTAAGGTGCGCGGAGCCGCTAGACTGGTGTTAAGTGTTTCCGGGACACATATGGTGTGTGTCTCCTGGTGTGTGTCTCCTGGTGTGTGTCTCCTGGTGTGTGTGTGTCTCCCGGCGACTCCTCTGCCAGGAGACATAATTTCCACTTAAATTCCAGCTTTAAAATTTGGGTGAAGAAAAAGAGGCGGAAGTTTGTAAGGTGTAATAGGTAGAGAGAGAGAGAGATAGATCTGAACAAAATATAACTTATTAGTTAGTATGTGACAGGTGTTTGGCAAGCCGTTTGGAGCCCGTGTGGTACCTGGCTACCTGATTTACCGCTTGTACGGTACCTGGCTACCTGATTTACCGCGTGTACCGTACCTGACGACCTGATTTATCGCTGGTACGGTACCTGGCTACCTGATTTACCGCGTGTACGGTACCTGGCGACCTGATTTACCGCGTGTACGGTACCTGGCGACCTGATTTATCGCTGGTACGGTACCTGGCTACCTGATTTACCGCGTGTACGGTACCTGACGACCTGATTTATCGCTGGTACGGTACCTGGCTACCTGATTTACCGCGTGTACGGTACCTGACGACCTGATTTATCGCTGGTACGGTACCTGGCGACCTGATTTACCGCTGGTACGGTACCTGACGACCTGATTTATCGCTGGTACGGTACTTGGCTACCTGATTTACCGCGTGTACGGTACCTGACGACCTGATTTATCGCTGGTACGGTACCTGGCGACCTGATTTACCGCTGGTACGGTACCTGACGACCTGATTTATCGCTGGTACGGTACCTGGCTACCTGATTTACCGCTGGTACAGTACCTGGCGACCTGATTTACCACTGGTACGGTACCTCGCGACCTGATTTACCGCTTGTACGGTACCTGGCGACCTGATTTATCGCGTGTACGGTACCTGGCGACCTGATTTATCGCGTGTACGGTACCTGGCGACATGATTTATCGCTGGTACGGTACTTAGCAACTCACAGGGAGCTTGGGTGGTACGCTGCGTGGTACCCTTGACTTGGAGGCTGTACACGGTACTTCCCAAGTATTGTTTGGGCCCTGCACGATACTTAACAACCAGCTTGGAGCCCGTGTGGTCGACGGTGTCACGGTACACAGTGCGACACTGGCAGAGAGAAGCATGTTGAGGGCCTCTACACTTCTCTATTGGTCCTTGGAGTACACAGCAGTACGCGCTGTGTACTGTGTACTGTCATACACACACCAGGACTCACCATACACTGTACTGTCATACACCCACCAGGACACACCATACACTGTACTGTCATACACCCACCAGGACACACCATACACTGTACTGTCATACACACACCACGACACACCATACACTGTACTGTCATACACACACCACGACACACACTGTACTGTCATACATACACTGTACTGTCATACACACACCAGGACACACCATACACTGTATACTGTCATACACACACACCACGACACACCATACACTGTACTGTCATACACACACCACGACACACCATACACAGTACTGTCATACACCCACCACGACACACCATACACTGTACTGTCATACACCCACCACGACACACCATACACTGTACTGTCATACACACACCACGACACACCATACACTGTACTGTCATACACACACCACGACACACCATACACTGTATACTGTCATACACACACCAGGACACACCATACACTGTACTGTCATACACACACCAGGACACACCATACACTGTATACTGTCATACACACACCTGGAGGTGTTTTCATCATACCTGCAATTAAGATCCAGGTCGCCGGAGACGTCTCTAATTAGAACATGTTTTTTACATGTCGGTGGAGTTAGTGGGAGGAGGGGGGAGGGGGGGTTAACGAGGGCAGGGGTGATCAGGGTCTGGTGGTCTTTTGGGGGGTGGAGGGGCTCTTGGAGGGGGGTTATATCTCTTGAAGGATGGGGTTGGGGAGCCAAAGGGTGGTGGGGATTGCGTAGGAAACTCTTAAGAGAGAGGGGGGGAATGAGTTTGCCTTGACGGGGGTAGAAATAGGGAAGGGGTGAGGGGAGGGGAAGAACAGAAGGATGGTGATAGAGAGAAAAATAAGAGAGGAAAGGAGAATGAAAAAAGTAACACCATACAATTATACCATGAGAAGGTCTACTGGTAAGTGGAAGAAAGAAATTAGGATTTAACTAGTTATTCATCTCTGTGTACTAGTGAAAGAATTCGTCCCATTCTTCATTACACAGATCAAGATTGTGCTGCACGATCTAACGTGGCCCCCACTAGAGCAACGTAAAACAGAAGGACAACATTAGAGCCTTTTGGGCTAACGCTTCTAGATATTCTTATTAACCAATTATCCTTATTATAAGCACTTATGCGTGCTAATAGAGCCATTTAAATCATGACTCTATATTATCTGTTGCATTATCTCCTATCGCAATAATACTGCTTAACAGGGTAGAGGTAGTTTATATATCTCCAGAACAAAGCTGGTGCCAAGACAGCCTCCTGAGGTACTCCAAGAGTTGCGTCTTGACAACCTCACACATGTACAGCTTCTCGCTCTTCGCGTCCTGGTAACCAGTTTTATAACCTTGATGCATAGCCTTCTTTACCACGTGCTCTTTATTTATAAAGAAATTTTCAGTGACGATTCCTTCGTGGTCGTATGATATTCAGGTCTTTGTAATGTTCTTAATGTTGACGAAAATTAGTTATTTTTAATTCTTGCTTCGAAACCAGAATAAATGTATTTTTGCAAAAAATTAACTTTAGTTTGAATGCTGTGCTTTCTGCTATGATAAATTTAAGTATCTATAATGATGTCATATAATTATCATTGATAATTACACACAAATTGTTAATTTAGATTTTCAATGAATTTGATTCATATTTAAAACATTTGGTAAACAACATGTTACGTTATGCCATCAGTCTTGGCGACCACGATGACTATTGCATACAGACGAACACGTGATAACCATCCTACTCTACTGGAGCAAGACAGAGTTTATGTAGCAATTGCTCCGGCAAACTGTGCCACCGCTGAGAGCTTCTGCAGTTCGCTCCAGCGGGTCTTTGATCCTCCAGAGGCCGGGGGTGGGACCGGCGCGCCGCTCTGCTGCTCCAGCGGTCTCCAGCGGTCTCCTCTCTTTGATCCAGCTGGAGGCGCGTTCCGTGAATGGCAGCGACACGAAGCTCATCACTTCCTTGTAACAGGATCGGTGAATGCGGGCAAGTTCATTAGAGAGATGGCCAAGAGGAGACGCAGGAGAGGTAACCCACTGACTTGCCGCTTCTCGCTCTCTCCTCCTGCCTCAAGCTGGAAGACTTGTCGTTGCTGCAACTGATGAAATAAATATTCCTGCGGTTTACTTCGCCACTTGTGTAAGTCACCAGCAGGGGCGAAGCGATCACATGGACACCTAACCCTGATTGTCTTAGTGGATGGTCACCGTTCCTCTCCTAGGTCCTCATATCCCAGCTCATTCTCCTCATATTTCTTTCCAGTGCTGTACAGTCATACTGGCTTAGTGATTATCTCATAATTATCTTATCTTCTCACTTTGAGTAGTTGGAGACAGTTGACCAGACAACACACTAGAAATTGAAGGGACGACGACGTTTCGGTCCGTCCTGGACCATTCTCAAGTCGATTCTCAAGTTGGAGACAGTTGTTCCAGCAGCGCCTCAGTCTTACAGGCTGGTCACACTCACACGCCACCAACCTAAGTACGACAACGGTCATGTTGGGAGGAGCACCGCTGACCCACAAGACAATGTGGGCTTTAATATATAAAATTAATCATCAATGTCTAAATTTTGAGCCATGACGAAGGTAAGGTAATTATCAGGAGAGAACGCAAAGCCAGCTTGACTATCTAAGACTTGGGAGGTATATGAAGGCAGGATGGATGCTTGAGTATAAAGGAACCGTGCCCAACCACTTTAGACATCGAGGAGCAAACGCTGACCCGCAAAGAAGCGAGGCAGTCGCTCTGCCAACCAGTACAGGTACTTGGGCTAACGAATCCAGTGCATAAACGTTCAGCATAAATACCCAAACTCTCGCCTTTTATTATGAAGAAATAATTCAGTTTTTTAATGCTTTCCTCTGCACTGAAATATATGTTAAAATCTAAATATTTTCTCAATCTAAATAATTTCACTTGATGTAGATGCAACTGTGAATACTGTACCAGATGCAACTGTGAACACTGTACCAGATGTAACTGTGAACACTGTACCAGATGCAACTGTGAACACTGTACCAGATGCAACTGTGAATACTGTACCAGATGCAACTGTGAACACTGTACCAGATGCAACTGTGAACACTGTACCAGATGCAACTGTGAACACTGTACCAGATGCAACTGTGAACACTGTACCAGATGCAACTGTGAACACTGTACCAGATGTAACTGTGAACACTGTACCAGATGCAACTGTGAACACTGTACCAGATGTAACTGTGAACTGTGAAACTGTGAACACTGTACCAGATGTAACTGTGAACACTGTACCAGATGCAACTGTGAACACTGTACCAGATGTGAACTGTGAACACTGTACCAGATGCAACTGTGAACACTGTACCAGATGTAACTGTGAACACTGTACCAAATGCAACTGTGAACACTGTACCAGATGCAACTGTGAACACTGTACCAGATGTAACTGTGAACACTGTACCAGATGTAACTGTGAACACTGTACCAGATGCAACTGTGAACACACTGTACCAGATGCAACTGTGAACACTGTACCAGATGTAACTGTGAACACTGTACCAGATGCAACTGTGAACACTGTACCAGATGCAACTGTGAACACTGTACCAGATGCAACTGTGAACACTGTACCAGATGCAACTGTGAACACTGTACCAGATGTAACTGTGAACACTGTACCAGATGTAACTGTGAACACTGTACCAGATGTAACTGTGAACACTGTACCAGATGCAACTGTGAACACTGTACCAGATGCAACTGTGAACACTGTACCAGATGCAACTGTGAACACTGTACCAGATGCAACTGTGAACACTGTACCAGATGCAACTGTGAACACTGTACCAGATGCAACTGTGAACACTGTACCAGATGCAACTGTGAACACTGTACCAGATGCAACTGTGAATACTGTACCACACCAACATTACCAAGTAAATGGTACAAATATAATCAACAATAATGGTTACCATAACCTGAGTGTAAATGTGTGCCATTGACCAAGGCATTAACTCGAGGAGAACTACAAAAGTATTAGTGATACAAGACATTATAATTTTGCTTCCCATTATGACCATATATATTAATACTGTAACATTATTTTTGGTCTCTGCATTGTAAGAATAAGAGAAGTTAGAACGCAACTCAACCAGAGACGACTTATAGTACTGGTGATGGACTCTTAACCCTTGATGGACTCTTAACCCTTGATGGACTCTTAACCCTTGATGGACTCTTAACCCTTGATGGACTCTTAACCCTTGATGGACTCTTAACCCTTGATGGACTCTTAACCGAGGACGATATCTTAACCGGGTCAGGACTCTTAACCGGGTCCGGACTCATCTTGATCTAGACCCTAGACCGAAGGTTTACAACGATCTAGACCCATAGACCAAAGGTTTACAATGATCTAGACCCATAGACCAAAGGTTTACAATGATCTAGACCCATAGACCAAAGGTTTACAATGATCTAGACCCATAGACCAAAGGTTTACAATTATCTAGACCCATAGACCAAAGGTTTACAATGATCTAGACCCCTAGACTAAAGGTTTACAATGATCTAGACCCTAGACCAAAGGTTTACAATGAGCTAGACACCTAGACCAAAGGTTTACAATGATCTAGACCCCTAGACCAAAGGTTTACAATGATCTAGACCCCTAGACCAAAGGTTTACAATGATCTAGACCCCTAGACCAAAGGTTTACAATGATCTAGACCCCTAGACCAAAGGTTTACAATGATCTAGACCCCTAGACCAAAGGTTTACAATGATCTAGACCCCTAGACCAAAGGTTTACAATGATCTAGACCCCTAGACCAAAGGTTTACAATGATCTAGACCCCTAGACCAAAGGTTTACAATGATCTAGACCCCTAGACCAAAGGTTTACAATGATCTAGACCCCTAGACCAAAGGTTTACAATGATCTAGACCCCTAGACCAAAGGTTTACAATGATCTAGACCCCTAGACCAAAGGTTTACAATGATCTAGACCCCTAGACCAAAGGTTTACAATGATCTAGACCCCTAGACCAAAGGTTTACAATGATCTAGACCCCTAGACCAAAGGTTTACAATGATCTAGACCCCTAGACCAAAGGTTTACAATGATCTAGACCCCTAGACCAAAGGTTTACAATGATCTAGACCCCTAGACCAAAGGTTTACAATGATCTAGACCCCTAGACCAAAGGTTTACAATGATCTAGACCCCTAGACCAAAGGTTTACAATGATCTAGACCCCTAGACCAAAGGTTTACAATGATCTAGACCCCTAGACCAAAGGTTTACAATGATCTAGACCCCTAGACCAAAGGTTTACAATGATCTAGACCCCTAGACCAAAGGTTTACAATGATCTAGACCCCTAGACCAAAGGTTTACAATGATCTAGACCCCTAGACCAAAGGTTTACAATGATCTAGACACCTAGACCAAAGGTTTACTATGATCTAGACCCCTAGACCAAAGGTTTACAATGATCTAGACCCCTAGACCAAAGGTTTACACCAACATAACACACACTTGAACATGACAGAGAACAAGAACATGAACTCAGCAAGAGAACGGACTGGCCTCATTCAGACACGACGCAGTTTTCATTAGGTAGTTCCTGAAACTCTCAGTCATAGATCTTTATGCAGAGCAATTCGTACCTTGTGATGATGCTGGACGAGCGGGAGATAATAATCATCATCCGCTCAGATCAAAAGGCTTGGCCGACTAAATGGAATAGTGATGTAAGGAAATTACAGTACAAGTGCAGTAGCATCTACATAGATCCTTTTGATCTCTTATGATGCTTCTCCGAAGCTGTTATCGCTAACGTTCTTGCTTCAAACACAGTACAAAAAATCCTATTTGCAATGCAATGGAAAAGGCCTCTACAAATTTCTGGAAAACTTCTCTGCAGAGCAATGGAAAATACAGTCAAAGAATCCTGGATACTAATCTTCACCATCATGGAAAGCTGTAACTGTAACACACTGTAACACTCCTAGAATCCTGAACTTGTAAAAGCACCTTAATCACCTTCAGTGATTAAGTGCTTAATTGCACACTAGTTTCTCTATCAGCTATCTCACACTGTCAGAGTAAAAGAGACAAATGTATGTGAATGCATGTGTGTGTGTGTGTATATATGTATGTGTACGTATATGTGTGTGTGTATATATATGTATGTATATAAAGTATATATGGAAGCTGATCAGAATTACATTTCACCTTTGTAAATGCACATTAATGACACCATGTAAAAGACACATCGAACACTTTATGTAGGGCATACGTAAATCTGTGTATCTATGTATTTACGTATGTAGCTTAGCCTAGCATTTTAAAAGCACCAAATTACCTTCTATGGTTGATTGTTCAATAAATCCCTGAACTATATGTTTAACACATCTCTAACCCTGTCCATGGAGGACAGAAGAAAATGTCTATATGCTGGTTAGCATTGTAAATGTGTGGCCACGTCTGTGGTAGAAAATAATAAAAAAAATCATGGAAAGCGTCTCTGTAGAGCCTTAGATAATGAATACCCAGACAGAGTTCATGAAGCCCTGAACACCAGAGCCCAGAGCCAGACCCAGAGCCCAAACCAGACCCAGAGCCCAGAGCCAGACCCAGAGCCCAGAGCCAGACCCAGAGCCCAGAGCCAGACCCAGAGCCCAGAGCCAGACCCAGAGCCCAGAGCCAGACCCAGAGCCCAGAGCCAGACCCAGAGCCCAGAGCCAGACCCAGAGCCCAGAGCCAGACCCAGAGCCCAAACCAGACCCAGAGCCCAGAGCCAGACCCAGAGCCCAGAGCCAGACCCAGAGCCCAGAGCCAGACCCAGAGCCCAGAGCCAGACCCAGAGCCCAAACCAGACCCAGAGCCCAGAGCCAGACCCAGAGCCCAGAGCCAGACCCAGAGCCCAGAGCCAGACCCAGAGCCCAGAGCCAGACCCAGAGCCCAGAGCCAGACCCAGAGCCCAGAGCCAGACCCAGAGCCCAGAGCCAGACCCAGAGCCCAGAGCCAGACCCAGAGCCCAGAGCCAGACCCAGAGCCCAGAGCCAGACCCAGAGCCCAGAGCCAGACCCAGAGCCCAGAGCCAGACCCAGAGCCCAGAGCCAGACCCAGAGCCCAGAGCCAGACCCAGAGCCCAGAGCCAGACCCAGAGCCCAGAGCCAGACCCAGAGCCCAGAGCCAGACCCAGAGCCCTGACAATGATCAGTACACAGAGCCTTGGAACAAAAACAAGAATTCATCTAAGTAGTCTCCAGGATAACGTCTCCGCTCCAAATTGGAAAAGGATGAAGCAATAAAAATTACTTTTGATGATAATTGCTTTCCCTGAGTAATAAAAAAAAACACGCTTATCCCGTCGCCACGTTAAAAAAATATCACGACTTACTATTTCATTATCCAAAATGAACATAAAAATCAATCTAAAATTCAAAATGATTTCAGTAAATGAGAAGATGATTGACCTTCGCCTTCCCGAAGGTCACTCCAATAAAACTCCGCGAGTAGGCGCGCCCTTCCCTTTGAAAATGTTTCTCTTCCATAAAATCAGTTGAGTGCAGTGGGTGAGACACTATGCCAAGGCGGCAGTCGTCCATAAACTGGAAGAGACTGGAAGATCACTAACACGTCTGGCAGGAGACGTAGATGTAGCCATTAACAATGGCTATGTGGGAATTATGGCCTTAGTGTTTATCAAGTGAAGATCAACACATTACAAGGTAGGCAGAAGTAGAGAACTTTCTTTGTTTTATTTGATGAAGACATCATTAATAAAGATAAGTCCACGGAAAGGTTGTATTTATCCATGGGACAGGAACTGTTGGAACCCTGGTGATAGGGTAACGCTGTGACTGAAGTATGGGTGACTGTGTAACACTGACTGAAGTATGGGTGACTGTGTAACACTGACTGAAGTATGGGTGACTGTGTAACACTGACTGAAGTATGGGTGACTGTGTAACACTGACTGAAGTATGGGTGACTGTGTAACACTGACTGAAGTATGGGTGACTGTGTAACACTGACTGAAGTATGGGTGACTGTGTAACACTGACTGAAGTATGGGTGACTGTGTAACACTGACTGAAGTATGGGTGACTGTGTAACACTGACTGAAGTATGGGTGACTGTGTAACACTGACTGAAGTATGGGTGACTGTGTAACACTGACTGAAGTATGGGTGACTGTGTAACACTGACTGAAGTATGGGTGACTGTGTAACACTGACTGAAGTATGGGTGACTGTGTAACACTGACTGAAGTATGGGTGACTGTGTAACACTGACTGAAGCATGGGTGACTGTGTAACACTGAGACTGAAGCATGGGTGACTGTGTGACACTGTGACTGAAGCATGGGTGACTGTGTAACACTGACTGATGCATGGGTGACTGTAACACTGACTGAAGCATGGGTGACTGTAACACTGACTGAAGCATGGGTGACTGTGTGACTGAAGCATGGGTGACTAACACTGACTGAAGCATGGGTGACTGTGTAACACTGACTGAAGCATGGGTGACTGTGTAACACTGAGACTGAAGCATGGGTGACTGTGTAACACTGACTGAAGCATGGGTGACTGTGTAACACTGAGACTGAAGCATGGGTGACTGTGTAACACTGACTGAAGCATGGGTGACTGTGTAACACTGAGACTGAAGCATGGGTGACTGTGTGACACTGTGACTGAAGCATGGGTGACTGTGTAACACTGACTGAAGCATGGGTGACTGTGTAACACTGACTGAAGCATGGGTGACTGTGTAACACTGACTGAAGCATGGGTGACTGTAACACTGACTGAAGCATGAGTGACTGTGTGACACTGTGACTGAAGCATGGGTGACTGTAACACTGACTGAAGCATGAGTGACTGTGTGACACTGTGACTGAAGCATGGGTGACTGTGTGACTGAAGCATGGGTGACTGTGTAACACTGACTGAAGCATGGGTGACAGTGTAACACTGACTGAAGCATGGGTGACTGTGTAACACTGACTGAAGCATGGGTGACAGTGTAACACTGACTGAAGTATGGGTGACTGTGTAACACTGGCTGAAGCATGGGTGACAGTGTAACACAGTGACTGAAGCATGGGTGACTGTGTAACACTGGCTGAAGCATGGGTGACTGTGTAACACAGTGACTGAAGCATGGGTGACAGTAACACAGTGACTGAAGCATGGGTGACAGTGTAACACAGTGACTGAAGCATGGGTGACAGTGTAACACTGACTGAAGCATGGGTGACTGTGTAACACAGTGACTGAAGCATGGGTGACTGTGTGACACTGTGACTGAAGCATGGGTGACTGTGTGACACTGACTGAAGCATGGGTGACTGTGTAACACTGACTGAAGCATGGGTGACTGTGTAACACTGTGACTGAAGCATGGGTGACTGTAACACTGACTGAAGCATGGGTGACTGTGTAACACTGTGACTGAAGCATGGGTGACTGTGTAACACAGTGACTGAAGCAAGGGTGATAGTGTAACACATACTGAAGCATGGGTGACTGTGTAACACAGTGACTGAAGCATTGGTGACTGTGTAACATTAGAAAACCTCATCTAACAAGAGTATTTCTTAGTTGCTATCATTTATATTACCAAGACAGACACCCATAATTACATTTCAAGATGACACATTATCATTGCTGATTTTTGGGACGCCAAGAATGTGTGGGTTCGGCTTTAACATTATAACACTGTGGCCAGCACTGTTGCAACACTCCCACACGCTGCCTCCCCCTACTAATAACCTGTCCTGCAGCTCTGCTACATTCACGTCTTTCCTGCCGCGCAGTCAACAGTCTGACGAGACCAGGATTAATTCTGCCCTGATAACAACCGCACCAGGAATTAAACAGTCACTAGCGACCAGCCTCCTCTTCAAAATCAAACCAAACACATCTCTTGCGACCAGTTTCTCTAGCGACCAGCTTCTCTGGCGACCAGCTTCTCTAGCGGCCAGCTTCTCTGGCGGCCAGCTTCTCTGGCGATCAGCTTCTCTGGTGACCAGCTTCTCTGGCGACCAGTTTCTCTAGCGACCAGCTTCTCTAGCGACCAGCTTCTCTAGCGACCAGCTTCTCTAGCGACCAGCTTCTCTGGCGACCAGCTTCTCTAGCGACCAGCTTCTCTAGCGACCACTTTCTCTAGCGACCAGCCTCTCTAGCGACCAGTTTCTCTAGCGACCAGTCTACCCGTCAATAGCCAAACACACAGTCATAAACTCCATCATTCAAGACAAGGCCGCAAATAAAATTAAGATTCCATAAGACAGTTATTTGCCTATCAAGTCATCAATAAATTCATTATATTGAATGCAGCCAGGTACAGTCTCTCGGGAAGACGAGGGAGGGAGGGCTGATTAAATATTTATGTCCCATGATGCGACGGACAGAGAGGGAAACCTGAATGCTAAGATCAAATCTAATTAATTCAGGCGTTCCTTTGCCTTTCTCTGGCGTAATTGTCATTGTAAGTTAATGGAATATTTGAGCAGGAACAACAGAATCCAATTATCCTCAGATGAGTCCGTCTCCCAGGAAACCCAGGAGGCTCTGAGGGCAGGCTCCTCATGCTGGGGTCACTGACGGCGGTGATCTCTGATGAAGCATCACGTGAGCGCCTTACTGCCATGCTCTGATCAATAGCTCATCCCGGTCCTCCTGCAGGAAGCCTCACATTGTCACTTGAGTAATCTTCTGAACCGTGTTATATATAGCTGGGTTATCTCTAATATAAAGGCAGCTTTGTCCGTGCCTCTTCTCAGTCACACTGGCCAGCAGGACGAGGCGCTCACGCCATGACCACATGTCCCTCCTCCTTACACCACACCTGTTCAAGCTGTCTGTTCCACCATGTCCCATACACACTCTCCCTCCCACACACTCCATACCTGTCTTAACCACGCACTCTCCCCTCTCACACACAGCAGGTGCTGGGGCTGGTTACACCACAGGTGTTGCACAGGACCCCATCTTGTTTTTTCTTCTATTGTGGGATGTGTCATGTGTCATGTGTCGGGGAAGAAGAGGCTCAACAGATTGTTGTTGCTGTTGTTGTTTTAAATTCAGTTGCCCAGAACCAAAAGTTGCAAGTAGCACTGGCTATGGTGAGCCCGTAGTGGACTTACCTGGCACAGGAGCAGGGCTGTGTGGAGAAGAACAGACGTCGCTGATGTCATTTGTACATGACCTGATTATGTGTGTGGTGTGTAGTGTGTGGTGTGGCGAGTGTGTGGTGTGTAGTGTGTGGTGTGGCGAGTGTGTGGTGTGTAGTGTGTGGTGTGTGGCGAGTGTGTGGTGTGTGGCGAGTGTGTGGTGTGTAGTGTGTGGTGTGGCGAGTGTGTGGTGTGTAGTGTGTGGTGTGTGGCGAGTGTGTGGTGTGTGGCGAGTGTGTGGTGTGTGGCGAGTGTGTGATGTGTGGCGAGTGGTGAGTGTGTGGTGAATGTGTGCCCTTCTGAGAGCTGTACCCATGATGCAGACAACCATGCCAGCGAGCGAGCGTCTAAGGTCATATGAGCCAACACTTGGGTGTAAAATGTGTGCGAGTGGTGGCGAGAGCTCTCAGTTCGTCTTCCCAGGGCCCTTCCTCCCTGGGCATAGACTGAGTCAGTTCACTCACTCGCATCACTGAACGCGTTCAAGTGTCTCTCTCTCACGTTGAGTAAGAGAAAGTGTGCAATGGTGGTAGAGGGAGTTTATGAACACATTACAAATGACTGAATGTCTGAAAGTGGTAATGAGACAAAATTGATGAAAAAACAGCCTGAAGCTCCAAGCAGTCACTTCAGTATAGATAATACGGTGTCAGCTATTTATCCAGAAGGCTAAGAGAGTACCAACACAGACCTCTTGTGCTGGTATACTCGTAGTTAATACCAAGCTGTAAATCAAAGGTCTTTGGTCTGTGAAATGTGGTCATCTATGCCTCACCTGACTCCCTATACCTCCCCTCCCGAGGGTAGTGGTGGACACTATCATTCACACTGAGGGAGGAGACCCGCAGACACAAGCGTGCTACAGGTACTGGGGGCGGGGCACCTCCTCTTCCCAGACATGGAGACGCCTCTCAAGGTAGAAGTCGACATGAAGTCGAACTCAAGGAAGTGTAGCTGGACTTAATGTTTGGTACAGTCAGGAGAGAGAGCAATTAATGGTGATGATTCACAATGAAATCACAGTAACGTGATGTATCTATGAGTAATATGGAACAGGACGAAGGGCTCGAACCAAT